TATCAGTAAAAGCAGTACTAATTGATATTAACATCATACTGCACTGATGCTAAGATAAACTGCCGTGCAACAAGCATTTTAAACTAATTTGGTTTGGTCTTTTATGCAGTGGTCAATAATAGTACCTAGGTGGCAGTTGATGGTTTGTCTGAAGCCTGAATTCTATTTTATGTATGACATAACATAATAATACATAATAGATTACTCTAAACGCCAGTCAGATTTTTGTCTTTGGTAATGGTAGAAAGCTTTAAGCTTTGTGGAAACCAGGCAGACATTTAACGGGGCTCTTGATTTCTTTTGTGGTTTTTTTAAAAGTGTATTTATATTCACTTTTAAATACAATACGTACTTCTTGTGCCAAATTCTGTCTTTAGCATTGTAAATAAGAATATTAGATAGAATAGAATAACAGAGTTGGAAGGCACCTTGCAGGTCTTTTAGTCCAACTTCCTGCTTAGGCAGGAAACCCTATATCATTTCAGACAAAGGGTTATCCAACCTCTTCTTAAAAACTTCCAGTGTTGGAGCATTTGCAACTTCTGGAGGCAAGTTGTTCCACTGATTAATTGTTCTAACTGTCAGGAAATTTCTCCTTAGTTCTAGGTTGCTTCTCTCTATGATTAGTTTCCACCCACTGCTTCTTGTCCTGCCCTCAGGTGCTTTGGAGAATAGCTTGACTCCCTCTTCTTTGTGGCAGCCCCTGAGATATTGGAACACTGCTATCATGTCACCCTTAGTCCTTCTTTTCATCAAACATATTGAATTTCTTATATTCACAGTTGCTACAAAGGCAATAAAAAGATCTGTTTGGCACATAGCTCAAACCCATATCATTTTATTTATAATTCTAAAAGTTTTCTTTTCATTCCTATTATGAGATCCTGGGTGCAGGGAAGGCTTGAATATCCATTTGGACTGAATGGTTTGTTTGGCATTGAATGGGGACAGCGCACATCTACATGGAGGGGAATGGAGAGAAAGCATAGGCACAGAGATAGACGAAGGTAAGGCTACAGCAGAAGGGCCTAATGAATGGAATGAAGGGAGGAATAAAATTACCTTCCACATCTTTTAGCCATCATTTGCTTTCTATTTTAAGGGAGAGAATTCAAAAAGGAAACAATCTGGTTATAGGAAGATGTGGGGTGAAAAGAGTTATCCTAAAAGGTTTTGATGACTGCCTCCAATTTCCACCTGCAAGACCAAAGACGATGCTTAATACCCCCTGCTTCTTTAAGAGTATTTTCCATCATTAGCTGAATAATTAATAACTTTGGCTTTGTATACTCAGGAATCCTAGCTTATAGCACAGTGTTGGGAATCTTTTCGGCACCGAGTGCCGAAACGGGAGCACGCGCACACAGGGGAGCACTGGAAACTGGAAGAGCAGTTCCCCAGCACGCATGCATGTGCTGGGAAGCTAAGCTTCTGGTTTCTGATGCGCATGCGCATGCAAAGATTGGCTGGCCAGCACGCATGCACGTGCCGGAAACCAGAAGCTCAGCTTCCCAGCGTGCACATGTGCACTAGGGAGCTGCTCTCCCGGTTTCTGGCACTCCCGCACATGCAAAGACCAGCTGACCAGCATGCATGTGTGCGCTGGAATCCAGAAGAGCAACGGGTGATGGCTGGCGTGCCAGGAGAGATGGCTTTGCGTGCCCCTTCTGGCATGCGTGCCGTAGGTTCGCCATCACGGTTCTGGCATAAAAATATACGGAGCAGAACAGTCATTTTTTCTAGTTGCCTTTGATTTGAGGAAATCAGATAAGTGCGCAGACTTCAAGCCAATTTTCCATTTTTATTTCCTCCCAATTCTTTCTTTCTTTTTTTTAAAAAATAGAATACCCTACTTTGGTAAGAAATTGGGAGATCATGATAGTTTACCTATTTTTTTGTAACTTTCTTTAGATTTGCCTATAAATTAAAAATGCAATTTATTCTGTTAAGGTATTAATCAGTAGCCTAAAGGTGGATATCAGTAACCGTTATAACTTTTAAAGATAATACCCAAAAATTCTTTACCAGAAGTAATTTTCATTATTGTTGAAGACTGATGTCCCTCTAAGGTTTGATGGGCAAGTTCAGAGAGTCTTTGCTGTTGGTATGGATCCAGGACCGTGGCTCTCTTACCCTCCCTCTTTCGGGGTAAAGGAGTCTTCACAATTTCATAAACGAGGGCTAGAAGAGAATGGCATGGTTAGCAGTCCAAAATGTGATGCAACAGAATGCCATGGAATGATTCTAATTAAATATGGACTCATAAAGTTAGAGGGTTAATTCCACAATGGGATTTTGTAGAGCAATGAGACTACACTCAATGTATATTTGTGTGCATAAAGATCCTCAATATGGCAAGTTTTGAAAAAAATATCAAATACCTTGGGAGAAAAGCTTACCAGACCTTTTCAGTCTTGAAAGAAATGTGAAAAGATAATTCATAGTGTTTGCAGATGAAACTTTTATCTTACAATTATTATTTTCTATTATTCTATCTTATTGATCTGAAGAAAAGACTTCCTGTTGACCAAGCCATTCATCACCATTTGTTCACTCTGACAAAATTGTTGGCAGAAGGGATTCTTCTTGCCAATTTGATATACAGTAGATACATACATACAGTATACAATTATACCTGCACAAACGTATATACCTGGGACACCTTTGGATAATCTTGTGGCATGCTGGGAAATATAATAGGAAAGTACTGTGTCGTCAGCTTCTCTGTATAGCTTCCAATTTTTCTTTCTGGCTCTTTTCTCCCGCACAGATTTTGTATATGGAGGCAGCTTTATTTGGGCTGGTACGTCATGAAATTTGCTTATGACTGCTTGGTTAGGTATTTTATCAGAAAGCTGATTATGATCCCATTCTATGTCTTCGAACTGGAACAAGACCACACTTCCTTCTGCGTTGATCAATAATCTAGAGAAGAAATTGGATGAGTGGGAAAATATTATGAAATCTGTCCACTGATTTAAGAAAATGATTTGTAATGATGTGGCTTCAGGTTGCTGACACAACTGTTCTTCCTTGCAATTAGGGCCCCCAAATTCTATTACTTAAAATCAGAAGATCAACAATAATAACAATCATTGGAAGGGGAGGTTAGTCACTGCAAAATGAAAGGAAGGTCTTTTTTTCCTCCCCTTTTCTTCCCTGTCACAATCTGAATGAAAAATATTCCTCAAAAACTGTTTTTGCATGGTCAAGGACATTTCCAGTACTTTCCTTCCAGTACTAATAGCTTTGGATGATTTTTCAAGGAATTAAATAGGAATTAATTTATAGCTCACCTTTTCATAAATTGTCTTCTAAGGCAGCTATAAAAATGAGTATATAATACCAGATTGCTATGTGAGTCACTGCTAACACAATAACAGTAACAGAAAACATATCACCTTGGTAGACTCAGGCTTGTCTAAGTAAAAAGACTTTGATATCAAAGGCTATCAAGTAATCAGTTAATTCTCTAATCAGGGAAATCTTTTTTTTAATTAAAATTGTTAATGAGGACATTATTACAGATTAAAAACAATACAAATTTAAAGAAAAGAATAGGAAATAAAAGAGGAAATAACAAAAAAGAAAAAAAGATATAAAGAAACAGCTTCTAATTTTCTTTATAGCTATTGTAAATATATTGATATTTACGTTTCAGTTCAGCATTAATATTTAAATTCCTTGTATCATTGTGTATATTTTAATCCTATTTTTCCAACATTTTTACAAGTCCATCAGGCATAATAAAATGACAATTCACATTTACCATATTTCCAATATAAGTTTAGCACCTTTATACATTCCAGAAAGCTTTCCTGATGTATCAACATAGCATTTTACAAACATTCTTTTTTAAATTGTAACATAATGTGAAGTTCAGTCCTTTCAACCACATATTTTCCCACTGATCCATCTGTATATTATAATTGAAGTACTTAGCCCATTTTATCATACACTTGTTCTCCTCCTGTTTCAAATTTTAGTAAAACACATATATTTTAGCAACTAGCTGGATACCTGTGCTTTGCTACGAAACTATGTAATGGGGCTTGATAAATTGACACTTACAGCTTGACAATTGAGTAGTTACAATCAGCCTCTCCTCTCCCCTTCTCTCCCTCAGCCTTGCCCACAGAACCCTTCCCTATCCTATCCCCTGGTTGCTGCTGTGAAAGTAAAACTTTTGTATTTGGAACAGATTTCTTTTCAGGTGGGGAGGGGGAGTAGAACTCCTTAGCATCAGAGCATGGAACAGATTTCTTTTCAGGTGGGGAGTAGAACTCCTTAGCATCAGAGGGCTGTTTGGAAAGTGAAACAGTATTTGCTTTGTGAGCAAGAAGGAGACACTAAGGAGCCTGGCTGTGGCTTATCTCAAGTGTTCTGTATTAAAGCTGCTTCCTGCTGTGAAAGTAAAACTGAAACTCCTCTCCTCTGCTTGTGTTTTGCATTTGGAACAGATTTCTTTTCAGGTAGGGAGGGGGAGTAGAACTCCTCAGCAGCAGAGCATGTTAATAATAATATAGGAAATACAAATGCTCTGATGGTCATTTCGAAAAATCCTTTCTTAGTGAGCACCTAGAAGCCAAGAGGAACATACATGACAAATTTCAAGTATGTAGGTTTTACGGTTCTGGATATTTTGTGATTATGGCATGAGTGGTTTTTGCTTGTATGTATGTATGTATGTATGTATGTATGTATGTATCTATCTATCTATCTATCTATCTATCTATCTATCTATCTATCTATCTATCTATCTTGTTTTAATAACTCTCAGTAGGTTAACCATTTCTGTCTGCTATTTCACAAAAGGAATTTTCAGGCACAGCCTGAATTGTATCTATCCCATTTGTATGTATTCCATATCCTCAATAAGCACTTCTAATGTAATGATTTTTAAAATATACATTAACCTTAAATTTATCAGATTATCAAAAATCATGCTATCCATATCTCAGGTTGTGCTCTTTCAGTTCTAACATTCTCTTATTTTTCAGGAACATCCATTCTTTCATTCAAACCAAACAGTAGGCTGCAAAGTGCAATTTCAGATCAGGCCATCCCAGTTCTCCTCGCTCTTTTGCATCCTGAGTAAGTCTTCATTTATTTCTTCCCATATAAACCTAACTATATCATTTTGCCATTGCTTAAATGGAACATCAGTTGTCAAAATTGGTATTGTTTGATACAAAAAAACATCACTCTAGGCAATACATTCATTTTTATCCCAATGACAATTTTCCCCATGTTAACATATCCTTCTTGAATTCTTTCTTGAAATCTTAGTATAATTAGTTTGAAATAACATATACTGGTAATTCATTTTATTTTTTTCTCAATCTGAAAATCTCAATCTCGGTTTTTATCATTCTTTTTGCTCTCCTTTTTGTTAGCATCTTCATTTTATCATTATTAACTTTAAAATCCTGTTATCACAACAAAATAGTTTAATTTTTCATTAATAATTAAACTAGCCTATTCATAGCAAAGCAATAGCACTTAGACTTATATACCACTTCATAGTGCTTTTACAGCCCTCTCTAAGCGGTTTACATATTGCTGCCAACAATCTGGGCCCTCATTTTACCTACCTCGGAAGGATGGAAGGCTGAGTTAACCTTGAGCCTGGTGAGATTTGATCTGCCAAACTGCTGGCAGACAGTGATCATCAGAAGTAGCCTGCATGCACTCTAACCACTGCATCACCACTGCTCATATTAATAATTAGTGTAATACTGCTACACTATCATGGCAGCTGTCTAAGGAATGTACATTGTCAATTCTGTTAGAGGAAGCGTTATATTTTTAATTTATTTTGGAATACATTATGATTTTCTTCCTCTTTCTCTCAAAAAAAAAAAACAGTCAAGAGAAAACAATTGAGAAAACAATACAATGAAGGCAGGATTCAAGAATTTAGAAATCTACCACTTTTTCTTTGAAAATAATAGCTATTGAAGGGAACAATGTTTAGCTATATTTGAAATTCCGTAAAAAGTATTGTGGAAGCAGAAAAACCCAAATTGTCCTTCAATTTTACATGAGAAGACTGAACTCTGGAACTTTTTATAGAAGGAAACAATAAATAAAAGATTCCTCAAAGGCCTCAGTTTAAGTTACATTGATTTGTTTTCTTTAGTTATTTTGTTTGAAAGTGTATATGGAAGGTCAATGCATCATTAATAGCCAGACTTTAAAAATATGTACCTCAGAAGTAACACTCGTCAATTTTAACTAAACTTACTTTTAAGTATCAATAATTCAAGACTATGTTGTTCGGGGCAGGTTGGATTCATAGCATTTCCATATATCTTTTCTTTCATTGCCATTATTATTATTGAATTAGGAAATAAGAACTTTTAACATACCTGTTTTCTAAAATACAGAAGGACACCACTGGGTCACCTCTGCTGTTTCCTCTCATAACCCTCAGACATATTCCAGAGAAGAAGTTAAATATACGTATCTTCCCATCAGCACAGCCACTGATGACTCTGAGATAAACAAAGGCCAGCGACAGAACCTCCCTGTAAACAAGATCAGCAATGAAAAACAAATGGTTGGTTTTTTAATAAAGTTGATACATTATATTATTTTAAAGCAAATTTTAATGCAGTAATGTTTATTTAATATGCTTAAAATTATCAACCCTTGTTTAAAAAGCTTATAGTATTGAAAGAAAGAAAAAATAAAGCTTCTTTCAGCATCACCATCTATCTATCACCATTTAGAATGTAAGTATTAGGTTAGGATTAATTTTTCATCCAAAGTTGAGTATAATTTTTTTTACTTAGATGTGGTACAGAGACAGAATAAACTCTATGATAAAACAGATGCAAAATTTCAGATTATGTTCTGAAATGGTTCCCTTATTTGATGAAGGAGAAAACTGAATCTCTTAAATGAAAGCATTTGTTGTATATTATGTGGGCTAAATAGGGAGCTACCTGAATTAGGAATTTATATTGATTTCAGTCCTGTGTACCAGTGGCATCTTATTCTAAATGCTAACAATGAAAGAAGCAATAAATCAGAGTAGGGAGGAAATGTGATGCGGAGAAGATTATTGCACCATTTTGCTGAAGCAAAGTGATGATAGATTAAAAGAAATATTATCTCCTTCCAATTAGTTATCAATGACCTGTTCCAAGTGCGAAGTGGAAGACAGGTAGATTCTAGTCAATGGTCTCCCAGCTTGATTGGTAAGCTTTAAAATCCAAAATGTATTTTATATTAAAAAGACTTACTTGGGATGTCTGAAAGCCATTAGGCATCGCTTGTGTTTTCCCACCATGCTCCATGCCAAAATGTATCCATCACTGCTTCCTGTCACAAGATGCCATTCATCAAATGACAAACATTTTATAGCACCTCGGTGACCTTCTAAAACCTGTAAAAGGAGGAGGAGGAAGAGAGGGGGAAGGCTTCTCTTTGTGTACTTTTAATATAGTTTCAGGCAGGGGTGAAATTCAGCAGGTTCTGACAGGTTCTGGAGAAATTTTGAATAGTTCGGAGAACCAGCAAATACCACCTCTGGCTGGCCCCAGACTGGGGTGGAAATGGGGATTTTGCAATATCCTTCTCCTGGAGTGGGGTGGGAATGGGGATTTTGCAGTATCTTTCCTCTGCCATGCCCATCAAGCCACACTATGTCCACCAAGCCACGCCCACGGAACTGGTAGTAAAAAAAATTGAATTTCATCACTGGTTTCAGGCATTCTCTGATTGTGGCTGATTGTTTACTTTGCCAGTAAATATTGAAGCTAAAAGTGTGAAAGCCTTTCCATAGATTTCTTTTGCTAACCCCAAACCCCAAATATCACTAAGGCTAGCCTCTTTATTGGATTACAAAATAACCAATGTAGTATTGTTTTTTCCTGCTCAGAAGTATACTGCATAACAAGCATTTCTAAAGCTTTGAATGATTACTATTTATTGTGTGTAAAATGTTTATCTGATATTCCCTGTACAAAATAAAAAGATGTTAGATGTAAGATCCAGTAACAAACCCTTAAACTGGAATAATAGAGTATGAATCACTGTTTCTCAACCTTGGCAATTTTAAAATATATGGACTTCAACTCCCAGAATTCCCAAGCCAGCAAGTTGCCAAGGTTGGTGTACACTAGTATAAGTGTCTCTATCCCATCATGATATATTTCAGATACAGAGTTAATAAAAAATATCCCCAGCAGATGTCTCACGAAGTGAGTTACACATGCTTATTCCCACAGTAGATGTTCCACATAAAATGGATTATATTTGAGTAGAACAAGCATTGCTAAAGAACAATGAGCCTTTTGGGTAGGCGTATTAAACACTGACTTTGCTAGAAAAAAAAATAAAGAAGGTAAAGTAATACTTTTGATTTCTCTTTGAGCCGGCCTTTCAGTTGCTCTGATACAAGCATGAAATTCTGCTTTTTTTCTCCTTGAATATCTTTTTTTGTTTGTAAACCTAACATTTATGTTAAGATTCCAAGATGAAACTTAAAAATCTTTTGTTTGTGATAATCAGCTCACCAAATTTTTATTTATTTGGGGGGAAATTTGTTTGCTTGCTTGAAAACTTTTCTTGTATAAGAAGAAATCCTAGAGTATCATGGGAATCTCAAAACTCTACAAACAAGATCCCAAGATTATTTCCAAATTAGTGATTTATACCATGTTATAGGACTATCCTGCCAGCTTTGTGATAAATAACAGTAATGAAGACCACTTTAAAGGGGACTGAATATGATTTAAATTACTAGTGGAGAATTGATACAGGGCTGAGACCAATCTCTCCTGGGCATATCTAATTTATAACATGATGCCTAAGTGAACTTTGCATTGAAATATATTTTAAGAACTTTCTGTTTCTTCTGGTACTCCTGTCAGCTTGTAGGTACAATTGCACTGTTGGTTACTTACCTGAGTTTAAATGTGAAAGAAATTGGGCCAGACTCTTTTGGAAGATTCATACCTTGATTAGTACATATGACTCAGCATGCCAAACTTTCACGAGGCCCTTGTCACAGGAACTCACGATATGAACCTCATTCATTTTAGCAGCCCAAACAAAAGCTTTGTGTGTGAAAGTTTTAACACATCGCCCAGTTTTCATGTCCCACACTGTAAGAAACACAAGAAGATGTAGTAATTTCTTAGCATGTTGCTCATCCTGTTTACTCAGAAGTTGAGTTTCAATGCATTTAATGCAACTCAGTCAAAGATAGAAAAGCATCAGTGAGACTTGTCTGGGAGGTTATACATCAGAAATGGGTAAACAACGCATTTAGCAGAGGGGTCTGCTTTATCTATAGTCACTTAATTTTGTTTTATCTTTTTGAAAAATGCACTGCTACATTCCTTATACCGTGTTAAACCTTTGTAAGTAAGTGGTTCAGAATATGATGTCCAAGTTGGCAGGAAGCAGAAGTAGCCTGCACTAATGCATTCTAACCATTGCGCCACCACGGCTGAAAAATGAACCAAGTAGGATTTTTAAGCAAGGGAAATATGGCCCCACTGACTTTTGTAGTGTTGTTCTCAGCATGGTACGTCAAGCCTAGTGCAGCCCTTGGGCTGAGAACATGCTTCTGTTTTATGTTGGAAAAAGTCATGGTTGGCTCATTATCAGGCGAGTCTTCTTTTATCATACAATTTACTAGTGTTCTTACTTTACCAACTTTAGCATTTTAGTTGAAGTCCTTGATTTTTTTTCCCTACTTCTCTAAGAGGGATTAAATCTGATATTCACATTTTGCTGTGCAGTCTTTGGATCCAGACACAAATCTAGTCTTGCACACATCCAAGCAAGTGATATTCCCTTTATGGCCCAGAAAAATCTTCACACAGGTCCCTTTTCTGATGTTCCACATTCTAAAAAAGAATTCAAGAGAATGGTAAACGAACACCATACAAACAGGAACAGAAAAAGCTAGAATAAAACTGGAATAAAACAAGCTGGTCTTCATTGTTGCTGCATCACCATTCAATCCCCCCAAAATGGAAACTAACTCCTGAAAAAGGCAGATTAAACTGTCCTGGGATAAAGAAAGGGCATTAAAAGCACTCACCTGATACTGAGATCATAGCTGCCACTCAGGAGGAATCCTCTGTCTTCATGGAGATACAAGGATCTGATACTACCAGCATGTCCAAATAAGACAGGAGGGACACTTTTAATCTTCTCGATATCTAGAAAGCGGACTTTTCGATCTAAAGAACCAAAGGCCAATAACTTTCCAGCAGTGCTATGAATCACTCGGTTGGAATCCAGACTGAAGTAGAAAGCAAACATTAAATTAGGACCCTGATTTACTTTAACAGGCATACTGTAATTTCTACATTCCCCTTTCCTTGTTTCCACTGGTGGGGTCCAAAATAACCAAAACTTACTGTTTCCAGGCAAAGATGCTTCCACGAGCTTGGAAGGCTAGTTCTTCCATGTGCCGTGAAGTTATATGTTTCAACAATTCTTATGGGTGAGTTGGTGAGATGTACTGTATCCTGATTCAGGTTTCAGCCACATACACACATGTGGTTTCTTGGGCGTTTATCAGTTTTACTTTCAGGCAGCAGACTTAACAATGTAGCAAGGAATATCAAGCAAAGCAATTTTGTTTTCAAAGAGGAGTGTGCAAGTTAGTTCATGTTTCAAAGGACATGATGGCTCAATGGTTCAATGCTGAGCTTGTCAGCTGGAAAGCTGACAGCCTGGATTCAAGATCCGAGGGCCAGGCAACAGGGTGAGCTCTCATTACTTGCCCCAACACCTGCAAACCTAGCAGTTCAAAAGCATGCAAATGCGAGTAGATAAATAGGTACCACTTCAGTGGGAAGGTAACAGCATTCCGTGTACCTTGGTGTATAGTGTTGCTGGTCATATGACCAGGGAAATGTCTTCAAATAATGCTGGCTCTCTTAGTTAAAAAACAGAGATAAGCACCACTCCCTAGAGTCAAACACGACTGGACAGAGAAAACCTTTACCGTCACCTTTTCAAGAGCCAGGTCAAAGTTGTCAGCTAGTCTAAGTACAGTAGTTTAAGGACTTAAGGTCCAAGAGTAGAATTCCTACATGGGAGTCAGACAGGAGACAGATGTTGTTTCCAGCAAGGAGAACAGAGGCAAAGCAAGTCTCTTATAAAGGCAGCAGCCAGATATCACTAATTAGAATGTTTATTCCCTTGGCAAGTCACCTAATAGACTTTCTCTGTTCTGTTTTCCCTTCTACTCATCCAGAACCTGGGTCCATGACAAGATGAATGAGAAATGGATGAGGATAAATATATTCTATCTTAGACACATACCTATTTATTAGAATACGAACATTGTAGCCACTGCAGAAGACATTCCTTTCTTCTAATTTGACAGAGTCTGTCTCCTGGCCATGATATGCTTTCTGCATGTATTCAGTCTCTTCACTTTGACTTGTAGTTTGCTGCTGGTCATAATCCTTCAAGCAAAGCAAACAGTGACAGTGACAGATGATGAGAAAGGAAAAGCAAATAGCATACATAGAAATATGTGA